TTTCGATGTAAAATCCGCTGTAGGAGTGGAGATCAAATCAAATTGCCAAGTTACTATATTCCCACAAAATCTGGAATAACGAAAAAGAGTTAGTTTGGTAGGTCATTCAAAATTATTAAAATTGAATGTAAAGGGTTTTGAAGTTATGTGGAAAATCGTCTATACAACACGGAAAAAAAAGTTTTGTTGCATCAACAAAATAAATTTGGTCATTTTTTGTTTGTTAAATCAAACACAAATTTGCGAATAAAATATATGTTCATTCCAAATTGGCAACATATTCGAAGAGACAAAATAATTTGATTGAAATATTTGCTTACTTGAACAAAAGTTCCATTTCATTCAACAACATTGTTGACATAAAACATATTTTGTTGATTCAACCATTATCTCATTGTTCAATCAATCATATGCATCTTGTCTATTCGACAAAATTAAATTAATTTTGACAAAGATTCAAGTAGATACAACATCATATTTTGTTGAGTCAACAATCATTTCATTGTGCAATCAAAGGTTTTTTTCTATTCGACAAAATTGAATTGATTATGACAACATTATATTTTGTTGATTCAACACATCACTATCAAGAAATATGTTGTTATTCCAAACAAATTACTTTGTTGAACAGAACCCACAAATACATTATATCAAGCAAATATCTTGTTTAATGATTATCTTGTTGCATTTTTGCCACAGGTGGCGTTTCTTCCAACCTTCCTACGCTCGCCTCGATTGGGGTGTACAGTGATGCCCAATATATAAGTAACGACTCTTGTGAAAATCCCTTTAAAAATTCGGTGTATGCACCCGGACTAATATCTATTGAAGCCTCCCGCTGTTTCAATAACTTATTTCTTATTGTGGTTTGTGGTACGAGATTGTCAGGTGTATCTCTGAATATTTCTAAGATTTCGGGCTAATATTCACATCGCCAGAGTAATATTTTCTACTTCATCTAATGAAGCTGACTAAAAAAAAACTGACCAGCATCATCATCTATATTCATTGTTCGATTCTAGTTGATATGAAATAGATAAAGAACTTGTTGAATATAAAGCGGTATCGGTATAATTTCTTTTTCAAATTAGAGTTTGTCTTTAGTGTATCCTTCAATTATTTTTCCTCGAAATCATATTTCTTGATAGTTCTTAATATACATTTTTATCTGAATTTGATGGTTTTGCGAAGAGAAAACGGTATACACCCTATTAACTTGAAACGCGATTATCTACTTCCAGGAATTCTAATTTTCATTTATTTCGAGTGTCTCAAAAACGCGCAGCGACAAATAAATTCTTCTTTTTTTAATGGGATACCTTGAATATTATTGCATTCTCAGATTCTACGATTCTAAGTTTGTTAGATTTTTTTTATATAACAAAAGTTTATAGTTTCGGAATTATGAACAATAATTGTAAATTGATATTTCGACTATTTCAATACCAGTTCAGTGAGGAAACATTTGGAATAGTATAGCACTGACAAATATAGCCATTTTCATTCGTCTCTAAACCTACCATACATATTTTATTTTCTGAGTGGTCATCGCTCCGAAAAATTCGATGGTTTTGCGGTTTTCAACCTCACACACTGTAATTAGGTTTGTAAATTCTAGCAAAAATCAGGAAATCTCATTAGACACGTTTTTCGAGAAGTATGTGTTTATACTTATATTTATTTCAATCAATGTTAATAAAAATATCAAACGTGAGTAGTATGCTGTCGTAGAACTGGTAAAAATAAAATTTAGTAACGAAACATATTTTTTCATCTCTTGAAACGTTCGAACCTATATTCGTTCTATATAAATAGTGTTTGTTTAAATACTATAACTCTTCATCTATACAGGGTGTAAATTTGAAAACTTTCAATGCGAATATCTCGCGAAATAAAAAAGTTATAGAGAAACGCCGCTTGGCAAAAATTCTAATGAGTTAGGGGGAACTAGAACCACCATATTTCAGTGAAGGGATGAGTCACCCTGTCAGCGCAACACACCTCAACTTTGAAATGTCAAATGGCACTACCTCTTTTGTGATACCTCAAATGAACGGTCTCAGTCGGTAGTATTCACCTGTACAAGACTTTTTTCCAAACACTACAGGGTGTACGAAAAACATTAATTCGAGGGTCTAAATTTGAAAACTTTTAAGGCACCCAACTAGCATTTATAGTCGCGATTACGTTATTACGACTATTGGGTCGACTATTAAGTAATATTTACTAGTTGCGGTTACGTTATAATTACGTCGTTACTACGTATTTACGACCAAAATGGGGAACAAATCACGAGTAATTATTACGGTTTGCCGACGTAGCGGGAACTCACACAATTACGTAATGCTTACGACCCGTCGACGTCGAAATTACGTAAAGATGTAGTAAATTTTCCTACCTGACTTTCTATTTCTTTTCCACTTCATAAAAATATTATTTTCTCTCTTTATTCTTCTTCATTTCATCCATGAAGTTCACATTCACGAAAAATGAACAAGTCCAATATGCCTAACCATTCAATAAATAATACAAGGACAAACACGCGAAATAATTGATACTCGAACTTGAAAAATTCGAACAACATTCAGTTTTTCGATAAATGTGATGATTTTGCCTCGAAATTCAAGATGCGCCCACAAAATACGGCTCATTTCACCAAAAATATGGTTTTATTTCATTCGGCTATTTTTCAAAAATCATCGTAAATCATGTTAATTTCCATTATTATGCAATTTGTGATCGAACGAATGCTATTATTCTTCATAAAATGATGTTTATCAACAAGAAAAACCAAAATTATTTCCTGTTCAAATGGTTATCACATCAATCAATATGGCTTCCAATCGAAAATGAATCAGAAAGTTACTTTTGGAACTCGTCAGTTATGATAACCTATGTATTGGTAACTTCAACTGAATATAATTACCGAAAAGTTGTTTCAACTATGAAGGAATTGTTTGAGTAGGAATTACCAATATGTTACTCGAAATATCACCAAGAATTGACTAAATTATTAGGTGATCGATCAAGTAACGACAACGTCGTAGAAACCTAATTGGTGACCATAGAGTAATTATTGCAACTGTGAAGCCTTCTTGGGGTGGTAAGCGTTACCGTAATAATATATCCAAAGTTCCGAAACCTTAAGAGTAGTTTTGAGGAGTGACAGTTTCGAAATAGTTACTTTGTAATAAGCCATGAGAATTTCTCACTTGGAAGTTATTATCTAGTGTAAAAACTACGTAATTTTCACTCACTAAATAACTATCACTGACATTCATACTATGAAGTTCTGAAATGAGTGATAAATACGTTATTATCACTAAATATAGGTAATAGTTTCTTGAACCATGGTGCCTGTGACTGAAAATGCTAGTTGGGCGAATATCTCGCTAAATAAAACAGTCAGGAAAACTCCGTTTGGCACAAATGCTATACAGAGTTAGGAGGAACTAGAACCACCATACTTCAGTAAAGGGATGAGTCACTCCGTCGGCGCGACACACTCCATGTTTGAAATGTCAAATGGCACATTTAGTATACTATGGCATAATTGGGTAATGACAAATTATTATTGAGGACCTACTTCAAACATATCTGTACCGATTTTTATAATTCGAATATCCAATGTGTCTAAGAAAAAAGAATAAGTAGGCAATATTTTTTATCATGATAGTTCTTTTCCTAGAAAGTAATGACGGATACTCATTCAAGATCACTCGGAACATACCTGTGCTGATTTTCATCATCATAAAACGTTTTTTATCTTCACATTTATGTATATTTGAATGATAATAATCAAGACCAATATGTTTGAAGACCTCAATATTAATTCGACATCAGTTCTTCCCAAAAATACCACAGTACCTACTATATTTTCTGATCAAGTATACAAAAAAATTGTAATCCGTATTTTCAGACACCCTATACTTATATGTTCTATGATGATGAAAATCGGTACTGGTTTATTTTGAGTGATCTCCGTACCGAATCTATCATTAGTTTCAGTGAAAAAAAGCCTAAATAGTAATTTTTGAAATATGGGTCAATAAAATTGGTCGCAGTTGGCGACGATAAAAATTTAAGAATACCATAACTTTTTTGTTGGATGGATATTTCAAATACCTACACAACATAAAAAGTTTTTTGGAATCGATAAAATAATACGGATTTTACAGGCGGTGGTAAATTCTTTAAGTGAACACACGGTATATATAGCACGCGGTCACCGAACATAACACAACATAATACCAAAGAGGAGAGGGGAAAGAGATTCCACTTGGAGTATTTATGAATGAAATAGTGAAACTTAGATGATGACCTTGAAATAACCCAAATGAATGAACTGGCTCATTGGTTGGAAGCAGGATGAAGTATTGATTTTTTGAAACTGACATACGTATTGAAGGCGCGCTTACAACTTACAAGTAAGCGATCCGCGTTCAACGTATCAAATCCTCATTGGTGGATAGATTGACAGCCGTCGCGTAAATGTATGTTCACCCAATCACAACACGATTCTACAAAATTAGGTGGACATTGTGAATCTACCTTAGAATAGTTTATTTACAAGTGTCAATGAAATAATAGAAATTAATAATAATTTATTTTGACTTGCCAATGAATCAGAAACTTAAGCAGGACATGAGGATATTTTGTTTTTGTGAACGATAAATCATCATTTACCTATGTGCAATGTGGAATTTCTCTTTGTAATTTTAGATTAGGAACGAATCTCAGGATATCTTCTAAATGAACATCTTCAATTCATCTTATTTTTCCATAAGCTGATGAATCATTCTGCTCAGTCTTACTGAAGGAAATAAAATGAATCATTTAAGAAATTCCTCGAAATTATTTCCTTCAGTATTCAAGGTAGGTTTGCACATATGAAATAAAAATAACCATCATTTCGAATGAAGATTTTAATCAAATCAATAACAAAATAAATCAGTAAAATGTAGGAAATAGTTTTCAATATACCACATTTATTTTCTTGATTAATTTGATTTTGGTGTGATAGCTGAAAGTTGCTTTTCTGTCTGCACTTGAAAATCAGACTTCTGCACAAGTGTCTGTGTTCCTGTGTCCACCATATCTGGTTCTGTTTGGGTACCAATGCTTCTTGCTCTTGTGTCCATCCCATCTTCAGAGCTATCATCTATTTCCATAAAATGACCTACTTCTATATTTTCATCACTAAAATATGAATGCTCCTCATATATGTATGGAGCCTGATAAAAATACCTATAAGATCAAGTGTAAGTATGTAAAATACAATAAAATCAGGACCATTTTACCACCAAGTTTAGTATAGGAACAGCATTTTCTTTCAGTTTGTGCTTTTCTATCAAATGATCCTCAAAATGTAGACTGCAAATTCTCATGCTTCCATACAATTTCATAGGATCAGTAGCCCTGGTCAATAATTCATCATTGCACGCCAGTTGCCATGAATTCATTCTCACTTCTTGGGTCCTAGGATTAGGGAACCTAAAAAATCTCAATGGTGTATGTTGATTATTATCTAAGTACTTACTCTTGCAGTCTTTGACTGCACATTTTAGTCCTCCAGGTCTCCCCATTGCCAAGTTTATCTACAAAAATATATCATTTCTACCTCAGCAACCCTAGACACTAGAAAAAATCAAATATACCTACACTTGTACCACAATATTTTGAGGTTATGTAAAATGATAACAAGAAACGGAAAATGATGATGATTCCACTGAAACTTAGCAGAAAAACACAAGTCTATGAAAATAATAATCGCTTTTGTGCAGATTGAATCCACTTTTGTCACTGTTGAAAAATTTGCCAAATCTCTGAGAAGAAATTAGTTGACAAACAGTAAACATACAGCTGACATCTGATCGTAGTAAAAATTGAAGGTCATTTGTCAGTTTTCCCGCGCATTTGAAGTGGAGCTTCTTGGTGACTAACCTATATTCTTTGATAATACCAAAATGTTTGATGTGTATTTTTGACTGTGTTTTCGATAATTCTTCTTTATAGCTGATGATATTTCTTTGTGCTGATAGATTCAACAGTATAAAATATAATTTTGGTTTTTAATAGTTATTTATTATACAAGGGAAAAAAGTAGTAGATTTCAGCTCCAAGCGGAGGGAGACAAAAAACCGTGAGTTAAAATCCAATATTTTTCCCTTGTATAATACATTATTTTTTTCTGTGACAGAAGGAAGGACGAATCAATATTGAGAAGATATTACATTATTTCGAAATCTGAAAATTATCGACGTGAAATTTCAAGTTTTTAACAGTAGGGACACCTGCGTTTTATAGACATCTTTATCATTCTTTCGAAGTAATCAAATATCTGATGTCACTTCTGTCAGTTCAATTCTGTGATTTGATTTTGAAAAATTGCGAATTCAGTAGTTGTTTAGTAATATACGAAACCGCGAAGTCGAATGGAATAAAAGGACTTGCAGTTCTTTCTCGAAGACGGTATTATTGACTCATTTTTCGGAACTATAGCACAACAAAAGCCATTAACAGAGTATATACCTATATGTGATATATATCCGGGAAAAAAGTACTCACTTTTTTCCCACGGGAAAAAAGAAATTCATGAAAAGTGACATTTTATAACCTGCCAACAGAGATGAAATGCCAAACTTTTTTCCTGTCACAGAAAAAATCTATTTTACATGGTGATAATGATCACACTGTAGATATCCCTGTTTATGGAATTCATATTTCCACTCCAAAGTGCATTATGTGAACCAGTTCTCTCTAGTGAGAAATCATGATTTTCAGTGTTTCAGTTAGGTATAGGAGAAAATCATTTTTGAAAATATTCTCGAAAGTCGTAATTACTCCGAAAAAGTTGAAATTGGTATAATAAATCACCTGATATATTTTATGGTTCATATCGGAGTAATATATAGAATCAAAAATGTAGAAAAACGTGGTGCTCTATTAGAAATAAGGGAATTCTATTTACCTCCCGTATTTGGAAGTGCGCTATGCCTGATTAATCAGAGGCCCTGGATTAATCCTCGGATTTACCCAAAAATTTCAGAGATTTTTTCAACTAATTTTGAAAATGAATGGACTACCTGAATATACCTATATTATATAATTACTATATATTCATAATTTCATCACAATTTTATTGATCGTTTTCTCCTGGTTATACAGGGTGTAATTTAATTGATAGTTAAAAATATAGGATATGATTCCTTACCTCATTTTGTGAAGAAAAGTTGATATGAACATATTCCCTGAAACTAGTTCTTGTTCAGTATATTGAAGTTAATCTTTCTTGAAAATTCCAACACCCTATAGCCCGGATGTTGAGAGGTTTAGGGCATATGTTCATATCAACTTTTTTTCTTAAAATGAGCTGAGGAACCATATCCGTTATTTTCAGCCATAAACTAAATTACACGCTGTATAGTTTCAAATTCATCTCAGTTTAGTTAGTTTGTTGTCATATATTATTATATATAGATATATTATATTCAATAAATCATGGCATTGTTTTATAATGTTTGTTCTGAGAATGTTGGTGTATTCAAACATACCTATATTCTTTCAAATACTTTAGATCGATTGTCGGAATATTTCGTATAACGTTCGTACGCGTTCGTATATCCATATTATTGACTTATTCGTTCATACCATCAGGTCCGTCATTCTATATGTTCATATGAAATATTATCGAATTGAAGTTTCGATGGTTTGTATGACCAATCAATGAATTGAAGATTGTTGAAATTTACACATTCTTAGTACTATCATTTCTGGTTTGAAGGACGAAATAGTGAATCCCTTTACTCCAAGATTGGATTCTAGTTATAATTATATTATATCGTTCTCATCGGAACTGAATCATTGTGAAGCAGTCCAGATCAATTCCTTTTTATTTCATTGTTGTTGCCAGAGAAGAACTATGTCATTGTTATTTTTCACGTTTGAATAATAATTATTACACCTCTGGGTATATACCGCTGGGTATACCCTATATAATACCTTCACAGTGCGAAGCAGATCATAAAATGCTAATGAGGGAGACAGTTCGTTTCTAGGCAATGAATAGTACATGTGCTTAGACAAAAATATTTCGATTCGCTCAAGAGTCGTTACCTATTTATTGGGCATCACTGTACATATACCTACCTAAAATATCCATTCATTATATTAGGCTGTCCTAGAATTTCTTATGACGCTCATGAAAGCTAATAGTCTTGAATCAACTGAGGAAATTGATCTCTAATTTCTCTTAGTTTTGAAATTCAGTTATTGGATATTTTTAAAAATTATTCAGCAAAATATTTTGTCAATTCTAAATACAATTTTGTTGATGGAAGAAAATATATTGTTATTTTAACATATTCACTCTCTGATGAACTGAAAATTTTGTCACTTGAAGGAAATGATAGAATCATTTCAATCAACTGAATTGTTCATAACAGCAGTTATTGTATTATAGGAACAAAATAGTCTTTGTTCATTCAACCAACTCCTGCTGTTAATTTGAATCATTAATGAGTTACATCAAATGAATTTTGAATTGAAACTGACAAAAAACATTTGTTGCGGTGACAAAATATTTTGTCATGGATATATGACACTAAGATTTTGTTGTATTCACAAAAATTTTGTAGTTTCAAACAATTTTTTTTTCTGTGAAGGTGTCCTATTCAAAATAAAGGGACGTAACTCCTTTATGAAGCATTCTTGGAGCCATATTAAAGGATCTCTCTGCCTTATTTTTATGCAACGGCCTTAAAAGGACGCCGCTTATTTTTGAATCAACCTGTATATGCCTTCCATGAGCGACTAGCTCTCGAAGAGTAGAATTTTGGGTGTTTTGTTTCAATGAAGATCAAACGAACGTGAAATATTCCATGATGAGAATTTCTACAGGGTGGTCCAACAAAAACTTCACACCACGATTTTAGGGCTTCAGAATGGAAATCAGTGCTTTCTTCGCCCCCGTAACTTCAATACCTTACCAGGTGGAAGCACAACCTCCAGATTTTGAATGAAGGGATGAGGAGTATTGGGATACCTCATTTTAAATTACTATACAAAAAGCTCAGTCATTTCCATACAATGTTCATAAAATGAATAACAATGGTTGATTTCGGGAGAAAAACAACTACTTTCCTGTCTAATGCCACGCACCAATGAATAAAATAAATAATTAAATAAACCAATACTGATACAAGTGATTTTTTCCTGGATGCCTATTGATTTCAATTTAGCCAGGTCACGCTAGAAACCTACAGACCGGTTTCGAGCTTTTAGACTCTCATCAGTGCAGGGCAGTCTTCCACCAGCAGTCTTAAGAGCGTAGTCTTGCCAAAGTAGAGAAGAAGGAAAGACACACTCCACACAGAGAGAAATTAGTGTAAGCTTTTTACACATTTGTGTAGATTTTTTACACAGTTTGTTTCTGTAATGGTGACAGCACCAATTTGTGTATATTTCGCGCAATATTTTGTGTGAGAGATTTTGTGTATAACCAAACAATTTAGTTTTGTAATTTTCAAAACAATTTTGTTCAAAAACCAAACAAAATTTGTGTACTTTCGTGATACCAAATATATAAAATCATCCAATATTTTGTTCGACAAATATCACCAATTTGTGTGATATGTGTGCACAAACTGTGTGAGTGGGTGAACTTAGCATTACAAAATTGTGGAAATGTTCACAATTCAATGTACTGAAAATAACACAAATTTGTGTATTTCTTGTACACAAATTTCGTAACGATACAAAAGTATGTGTACTTCCGTAGACTGTAGAATCTTCTCATTTATTAATGTCTGGCGAGTTGGTAAATGATTGTACTCAATGATCATAGGTAGTCCTTCCGCGAAATTATTTCATGTTTACTAGTGGCAAATAGTGAAAGATGTAATAAGATGTATCAACAAAGTGTCGATTCTTTGTTGGGAACTACCTGAACTAGTATCAACATTCGCCGGTAAGTTATTTCAATTAAACCTAATGATTAGCTATTAGCTTCGACTTGCTCTCAATGGGTGTTGAAATATAACCAAGTCGACGCTAATTATTATTAGGTATTGAAATAATAATACCAGAGTTCAAGCAGTTCCCAACCAAGAAGAATGTCTTCGACACTTTGTTGATACATCTTATTACATCTTTCACTTTGTGGCACTAGTAAACATGAAATAATTTTGCGGAAGGACTATACCTATGGTCATTAAGTACAATCATCAATCATTCACCAACTCGCCAGACAATAATAAATGAGAAGATTCTACATTCTGCACCATACACACTTGTAACCTTCTTGTAACACATCTACAAGTCAAGTGCGAATTCAGAATATTGAGATTGAGATATAAGTAGGTAGAAGGAGAAGGGGATAGGACGCCGTTACCAAGTGGAAGAAAATTGCACACCTGTGGCAAAATATTACACAAATAGTAACATTATTTCAAACGAGGTGGAGTTAGTCAATACAATTTTGTACATTGGATGATGTGCATATTTTTGTGTAGTTTTCCGCTACATGGATATGTACAAATATTTCACAAATTGATATACACAAACATTTGTTTCATTTCACGAAATGACTGTAGTGATTATTTGAACAAATGTTAATTAATACTTCACAAACATCTTTTACTCAATGTTGTGCATAGATATGCAATCGCCTTTTCTCCCTGTGCAAAACCAAAATTCCTATACGGGAGTGGCTGGCTGCCCGACTGGCGTAATTCCAACTACGAAATAGCAACAATGCTCAAAATGGAGTCATTTCCACATAATAAACAACAATGGTAGATTTCGGGAAAACAACTACTTTCCTGGCTAATGCCACGCAGAACTTTGAATTACATTCTCCCTCATCCCTATTCAAAGTCCGCGGGGGGTTGTGCTACCCCTGGTATGGTGTTGAACAAGACGTTACCTCACGAATCAGGAATCCGAAAATCCGGTCCGAGCGTTCTTCCGGATTTTCATTTCAAAGCCCTTAACTCGGAGTGTAAAGTTTTTGTTGGGTCACCCTGTTTGAGTATTCTTTGCAGTGATAAATCAAATCAGTTTTTACCACATGTAGGTGTATACAAAGTATAATAAACTCAACAATCGACACAAAAATCGATATTGGAGCCTTTATTATGATTGTCTAATGGAAAAAACATCTAACATTTCTATGGCATGGCCAATTCGATAGAATTACAAAGCGCCGCTTCCAATTGGGTCACCAACAAACAAGTGAACGAATAAGTCGTCGACATAACGACATCTCACTCGAAAACGCTCAAAGCGTCGCTCTGCTTTTATTACTCTGTTATTTTTCAATTTTATTAACTCGAAAATTGGACCATAAAATCGAGTTAACTCGAAGAAAGGCCCGATCCATAAATTTCGTATTAGAGACCGCGACCGAATCTCAATATTTATTCGAATTGATATTCATTCAATACGGGTTTCATTCAGCAAATCGATGTATATAGGGTGCATACCATTACGTCTTTCTTCATATCCAGGGCCAGATTTTTATGTTCATCTCATATTATTTCACACCATATTGCTTTCCCATGTTATTATTATTCCCTTGCAGTATATGGATAATCTGAATTGAATATCATTTTTATGGGATTTTCTGTACCCGTTTCTACAAATGGAATATTAATATTATTTCAATGTCAGATGATTAACGCCAAAATCTCACTGCATTCATGTCTACTATTCAAGAGCCTATAGAAGAAGAACTTAATTGTTTCAAAACTATTTGAAGAAAAGAAATATAGACAAAATATCAAATCTCCACTAAGCTTTGGACATATTTGGAATGAATCTGCTTTCTCATTCAACATAAAAATCGAAAATTATTCTTGAGAATTATTTTCCTGTCTCGCTCTCTACATGGCATGGCACAGAGTAAAATGATTTTAAAATCATATAGGGAGAGAAGATATAACCTATAAAAAAATCAAGGAAATATGCTTGCATTTTTCTGAACGGAGCTTCTTCTTTAGTTGATACCCAGAGTACCTATATCTTCATGAGTAAACGCATATTAAATTAAACTTACCCGCAGTAGGTACTCAAACTTAACAGATATAGTCATGCTAATAACAACATGTTTTCTGCCCGAACTTGCAGTAAGTACTTCTATACCATTATTATTCACTTCGCTGAAATGAGAAGCACCAGGATGACAGGATTGTTTTAGGCACTAAACGACCATCAAGACTGACGCTGCGTTATCAATTGGACGAAAGGGCTTCTGCTTAGTCTCGACCTGGCTCGAGTCTTCCTTTCGCTGATGACCAGAGAGATTCGGACATTCCTTCACTCCGAAGTTCTTCATTTAGAATTATAACATAATATTGTGGTGACTTAGAACAGTCGACATATTGTTCACTGTTTGCACGTCGAAAAGGGACTGAGACAGTGAGATGACTTTTCACATGTTTCATCTAATGATTGAGTAAAAGCCACTCTAATATGGTTCGTTTCATTCCAGAATTTGTGCTATTCAATCAAATTGTGAAAATACTCTATTTTCATTGAAAATTCACTCGAAAGTTTCAATTAGTATATTTACTCACTACCAAATTTGCACTCAAAAGGATTTCTTACAGTGTAGGACATTATATTCTTCAACATTTTTAACCCTTAACTACTAATCTTACGTCTCAGAGACGGCATATCAGCATCCGATTTGTTGGATTACCCCTGCTTTTCAATATCGACCATTGTCCTACCACGTTATTTATGTCCACCCAGCACTCATTCAGTACCCTGAAGTTGATCTTTGTATGTGGTTCAGTTTTAGAAATATCTTGAGTGAAAGATAGATTGCCGTCTCGTAGACGTATAGTTAGTTATTACGTAACAATAAAAGTTCAATTTCCCCTATAATACGTATGATTGCGTCTTTATCTGGATATACAGACATTGTCATTTTTTTTTCAATTTGCATGTTCATGACTTAGTTCTGTGTCATATTTTTATTACGACTCTAACTGTATTCAGAATGACAATAATATCATCGATAATTTTAGTATTTCAATTTTATTTTAGTACTTCTATAGATCAATGTCAAAGTTAGGTACTTCTCTATGAAATTTTGATCGCCACTGAAATTTGTATTTCTATTTCAATTTTGAACATCATTTTCTCTTCGCCAAATATGCAGAGAACGTGTTTGAATAGCTCACAAAAATCAAATAAAAAAAATTTGGATTTATACGGACATTTGAATAGTCCCGTCTGTGAGACGTATGGTTAGTGACAACGTTATATATTTGGAACGTTATAAGTTAAGGGTTTTAAATTCCTTGTTCTAAAATTGTTCTTATCCATCATTCGGTTGCCCCTTACGAGCTACCCTTGAAGGTCTTCAAGAGACTTGTGCGATGAAGGAATGCCATCCTCAACAAAAGTTACGAACATTGAATTTCATCTGATATACCGAGTGTATCAAGAAAAATAAAATCGGCTATAATACAAAACTGGAAAATAATCGTCCTGTACGTAATAGTTATTCAACCAACTAGTGTATTAAAGAGGGCGATTAATGATCGAGATATTTCAACGTGCGAGCAAAGCGAGCGCGTTAATGTTCGAGATCATTAATCGCCTTTTAATATACGAGTTGGTTACAAAATTTTTTCGTCGACTGTATATCTCATTTCTCCTGCAATGAAGAAAACGATTTCATAAACATTAAACTTACTCGTTAATACGAGGTCGACGGAAAAAGTTTGTAAATACACTTCATAGATTGTTTCTAGAGAATTCCCACATTATTGCGGATGTTAATATCGATTGGAGAACATGATGTATATAGTTCCTGTCAAATCTTGGCGACTTTAATATCCATTCGTGACCCAAATAGTTTTATAGATTTCATTATGCTCTTGGACTCGATTCCTTTTCGCTTACTAAAATAATATTATGGCTCTCGGATTGAGAAGAAAAATTAATAAGGTCTCGTGGAAAGAAAAGTGGCCTATAATATCTGTAATGGACGAGCATTTGTTTGTTCGACGCATTATTTATGGCCGAGGCGAGATATGAATTAGACGGGTCTCGGGATGGGAGAAGAAAAAAAAACCGTATATTCTTTCTTTCTGGATGCGATATCTTTTGTTGTCTATCCCTTCAGTCCGCCGGTATTGATGGGATACCTAAACCTAAGAAAATTGAGAGCGAAACAATGAATAACCAATCACGCACCGATATAAATGGATTTGTTGGATTTAATGGAAATCTTCATTTATTTCACTAGACAGAATCCTTATCGGTTTCACTACTGTTCATTCCGAGTTCAAAATATAGGGACGTTCTTTTATTCGCCGGTGGCTCCATCAATCCATACCAACTTCGTTCATATATTCTTTAGTAGATTCCAGTTTGACGTAAGAATGTGTTCATTTATTACTGTTGTGTCAACCAAAATTGCAAACCATTTCCACCGATGTACGAAGATGGTGGAAGTTTTTTGGTGGATTTCAGAATGACAGCGACAGCATAACCTCTAAAAACTAAAAACAAAATATTGGATTTGAAAGCTGTTTGCCATTTGCCTAAGGACAAATATGGAAATCAGCCTGGAATATGAAAATAAAAGAATAGCTGCATTCTTGTCACCAACAGAAATTGAAGAAATTTCGAGTGGTAGGTACTTTTATCATTCCCATCATCATGAATTTATTTCAAGAAATTAGTGCAAACATTCAATAAACTTGAATACCAACAGAGATTTCTTATTAATAACTCTATCCATATCATCATAATTTAATGCAATGTTTTGTATAGGTTGTTGAGAATTTTCAACCTAATATCTTGTCTACTACCCAACTCTGAAGAACTGCTAGAACTTCTGGATCTGGAGACAAGGACTTCAATGACACTTTCAATACTCCATTTTTCATTTTACATTAATTTCCGCCAATTCTGAGCTTTTAATTGAAAACAATCTGAATCCTTATCAAATCACGAAAAGAAAAATAAATGAAGGAGAAAAACATTTGTGATTGTTGTCAAATAACTGCGTTTTTTTTTAACAGTGATGACTCCAACAATTCGATGCATCAGATATTGACGTTACTTCTATCAATAATGAAAATGTGGTGTCAAAAAGAACATGCCTAATATTCGACTGTCTCACTGACAAACTGCTTTCAATACAACAAAACCTTGTCCTAGTCGCTGTTTCAATAGATTTCTTAAACAACAAAATTTCCATATGGAGAATTTTCAGTTTTGATCAAGGATTCTTTCTTGAAAATGAACAATTTCACTGCATTAGCAGGGGTACCTCAGAGTTCTATTCTGGGACCATTGCTTTTTATCCTGTTTTTGAATGACATCCCAAGATGGTCGAATTTCGTTTTCTTACATATTCTTGACAAAACTATAGATCAATGAACATTCCGAAGACTCTATATTGATTTGGCATACATGTATTGTTTAGCTTTTTCATTCTCTTGAATGCTTTGAGTTTATTTTAATACAACTGTATTTTTAAGGATTTGAGAGTGCTGTATCATCTTGGCTGGCATCGTATCTTTCATACCTAGTGTAATAAAGGTATATATTCGGTATATTTATATTTCCATTCAGGTGATTTTAGAATGATTCGAAACTGCGTTCGAATATGTATTTTGTAACGTTACCATAGCAACTATAAAAAAAATCTGGAAATTGTTTCCTCCATTTAATGGGAAAGAGCATGAGCTAACACAGGATTTTTTTTTGACGTTTATAGGTAAAATGACATTTACATTCTACTACATATAGGACTCATTATATAAATTGATACAAAGGAAAGAAGGAATGCTCGAAATCATTTCTACAAATTAAAAAAAAGTGTAGAGATGACTTCGAGCATTCCTCCCATCCTTTGAAAAAGTTCATTCCACTTTGAGAAATATTGACTTCTACCAAAGATTAAGTTGATACGTTCTTTGTATAAGAAAATATATTTCTGCCGACTTAAGCTACTGATGAATTTGTAAAAGACTGAGAGATTTAGCTACTCGGACTAGTTTTTTATTATTTCATTTAATGATAGTCGTCAAATCATATTTTATTCATCCTAATAATATTACGTGAGCAAATTTCATAGATACTATACAGTGTCATTCATAAAGTCGGCATCATATGGGAAAAACTTTTATTAATGACTTATTTTGAAATTCGAGTTGGACTTTGAGTTTTGCTTCAAAGAAGATGAAAAATGGCCTACTCAATCAGGGTCACGTGACTTTCGCTACATGTCAAAATTGACATATTTTCAAATTAATCGCTGAAAGTAGAATTATTTGTTCGAATATCGAAAAAGTTTACTTGAAAAAGTTGTTTCTATTTCAATTTCACATATGTGACTCGGATTTTATCTTTCTATGACATTTTTTAGATTTCGATATGTTTTAAAAAATTTCGAAATTTCTGTAATATTGAAAAAATTGTAAATTCATACCAGTAGTTTCATCATGCTACTAACTTTCAATTACTAATTATCACTAGTTATCGACAAAAATATGATTTTCTTCAGAAAATGATAATCTCCGCTTCAAAATTCTGTTATGTTTGATGCAAACATAATATCATCAAAATTCTGTTATGTTTGAGTCAAGCATTTAGACACGAAATTCATTTAAATTCATTTTTTCAGTACTGAAAAGATCAGTTTAAATGAATTTTGTTTCTAAAAGCTTGACGATGTATCAACTTTGCATTAAACATAACAGAATTTGAAAGCGGGTATTATCATTTTCTGAAGAAACTCATATTTCTGTCCATAATCAGTGATAATGAGTAATTGGAAGTAAGTAGCATGAAAAAGCTACTGGTATGAAGTAGTTACGTGGAATTAACAATTCTTCAAATATTACAGAAATTTCGAAAAATTAAAAAAAAATCAAAATCAAAAATATGCAATAGAAAGATCAAATTCGAGAAGCATGTGTAAAATTGAAATAGAAATAACTTTTTCAAGTGAACTTTTTCGATATTCGAACAAATAAGCCTACTTTCAGCGATTAATTTGAAAAAATTTCACTTTTGACATGTAGCGAAAGTCCCTTGACCCCCATTGAGCAGGCCATTTTTCATCTTTTTTGAAGTAAAACTTAACGTCCAACTCGAATTCCAAAATAAGTCATCAATAAAAGTTTTTCCCATATGATGCCGACTTTATGAATGACACTGTATATAGTACTTCGAGTTTATCGTGAGGAAACGTATTTCTACCAACTTCAGTAGAATTAATTTGTGAAAAACTGAGAAATTGAGCTATACTATCGAATTATTTTTCATTATTTTATGTAACTAAATTAACTTAATTCTGATATATGT